TAATCAAAAGTAAACATTCATCGAGGGATCGACAACTCGAATTCAAAAGATCCACTTTATTATTTGAATGTGACCCGTGCACTTGCGGCATGCACTTTTAGGGAACATAACTACTATGGGTACTCACAACTTCCTTCGACAGGCAGGAGGTGTGGACAAGGCCTTTCACTAGAGTTGAGACGGATCTTGATGCGGTGGAGGTAGAGCTGCCAAACGAGCACGAACAAGTCGTTGCCAAAATAAATGTACTAGTAGTGCAACGAAATGAGTTTGATTGTTTTCACGATTATTTGGCTCAAAGTCAATGAAAGTATGTCTTTGATTGCAATCGTACTCTCATCCAGGGCCAAAAATAGATTAGAAAACAGGGTGGCACGGCTTTTAATTAAATGAAAAGAAAAAGGATTCGTTTGCATGCCCATGAACACGACATAACAACACTCCCTCTCTCTCTCTCTCTCTTTCCACGAACCAAAATAGAAACGGGAGCCCTCAAATCCAAACCCTAACCATAACATCTCATCTCCGACCGCACTCCCAGCCGTGGTAGCAATACGCCCACCTACCATATCCCATCGTCGTCGAAGACATCGGCATTTCCAATCGTCGACGTGTTCTCTGCACCGGTGCCATGCGAGTGTATAATGTGATTTAATTGCAAATATACGGTATCAAATTTTGTAATATAGTAAATAATTTAAAAGTGTCGAACTCACAATAATTGATATTCAAATTCAACTGAGTACTATAATTATTTCGATTTTCACTTTATTTAGACAATTCCATTTTTTAAATGATGTTTTTATACTAAGCTAATTTAAATGGAATAACGAATGCAAGTAAAGTGAGGCAATTTCTAAAAATCGAATCAAACTATGGATATCTAGGGATTGATTTCACCATATTATCAACATGTTCTCAACCTCTATAGCTATTTCCATCGAATTTTCCCAATTTATATGCAACAACCATAATTTAATTCTATCCCCTCTCTTGAGCGGCAATAAAACCTATCTTTGTATTTTAACCCCAATATCTTTATTCTGAATTAAACATATAAAGATTATTAAAGCTCTTGGTTCTTGATTTACCCCTCAAAGATTTTCACTTTCTCTCAAAACCTAAAAATCTAAGTTATGTTGTTCCAGATCATGTCTAAATTTTCCTCTCTCGAGCGTCAAATTTAAAGCATCGGTTTATTCAATTGGTGATCAGGCGATTGAGAGCATTAAACACAAAACAACACAAATAAATTCTGGAAATTTGAAAGAAATAACTATATTAGAATCAAATCATGTCTCAATTAGGTTAATCAACCCTAGATCTACGAATTTAGTTCATACTTGAATCGATCGACATGCCAAAATACAAGATAAAGAACATAGGAAAGAATAAATAAGGGTTCGGAAAAACTGATTTAAGCCGCTTGTTCTTCCCCAATTGGTTGTCAATCTTGCTACAATTCAATTTCTCTTCCTTACCTCTTGAATGGAGTTTCACTATTGCACCCTTTTTCACCTAGAGAAAATCTCGAAAAAATGGCTCCCATTAGGTTTTTATCTTGATATTTATATTATCTCCGAGTTTTGGATGGTTAGGGAACATCTTGGGCCGAGAAATATCCAAAAATTTGGACTCTTCTGTGTTACAAGGTCCAGCGCCATGGCGCCCATCTCTGGCGCTGCGGCACCGTGATGTATTTGTGTGCTGGCGTCGCGAGGCCAGCTATTCTGCTGTTTCTTTTTACTCTGGGCGCCGTGGTGCCCAGCTCACTGCTGTAAATTCTCTTTTTGTTGGGCACCGTAGCCCTAACAGACCGCTCCTCGCTTGAATGCTCATCTTCTAAGCTTCTTTCCCATTGCAATCCTCTTTTCTTATCGCTAATTCATGCCCCCATTTTATGATCACCATTTTAGATTCAACACAAGCTTCCAATTGTGATGTTTTCTCGAACGTTGATTGAGCTGCAAAACAACATGAACACACACATCAAAACATTCAAAAGTGCTGAAGAACAAGCTAAAACCCGTGATTTAGAGGCGTTAGTTTAATGAGTGAATTACACTCATCAACCGGCGCCCATGATAAGTTAATCTTTTTGCAATGTTGCTCAGGTAATATGCTGTTTATTTAATCATAAAGTGGTTTTCATTGTAGATTCCATGCGTTTAGTTGGGTATATTGGGATTAGCAGGGGGTATTTAGTATTTATTCAGTTCCTACTTAATCATTTGACATAGTTCAGCGGGGGTTTTGAAATGGGTTATTTGACAGATTTCATTGGGGGGTTTTATTGTGTTCAATAAGCTGTAGTTCATTGTATTTTTCTATTTTTCTGTTTTTATTACGTTGTGGATTGGAGTTTAGATTTTTGAGTGACAACTATTCATCAACATTGAAGCCTCTGGTAGTTTATGCATCTGAGCAAGTCCCCATTTGATGGTTCTGGCGAAAACAGAGGTAGCATGATCATTTTTTCTGTGTAATTTGAGGGAGGTAGATTTATCTAAGGGGAAATCATAAGTTATTGTTAACAGTGTTGAGATCTGAATTTTTAACTTTGTGATGTTCTTCGACACGGCAAGCCAAATTATTCTGCTTCTTGTGGACGATGTTATTTATGTGAAATATATTTTGAATTGTGCACGTACTTAAGCGCAAATGTTTTTGGGCCGGGACGAGGGGCTCCTCTTCTCCATTATCCTAATTAGAAAGCTTTCAGATTATATATGTACATTTGTCTTCCTGACTTCATCTAGTCGAATAAGATTACTGACTTCACCTTTGTTGGTAGTGATGGATTCCATGTTAGCATGCCCAGAACGAACTCTGGAGTCTGTCATAGTTGCAGAGCTAAAGATCACTTCCTTGCCGACTGCAAAAAGAAACGCCCTTACCCACTATTTAAGCATGGATTCGAGAAATATTTTGTCGGGAAAAGGAGACTAAAAACAAAGGGAAATTGTTCCTTTGCTCTGGTAACAATTGTGAATTTTGGGAGTGGGTTATAAATGAAAAATCAAGTGGTCCATCGATGAACCCTGCGAAGAATGAAACAATTGAAGAAATGTCCCATTTGTTCCAATCTCGAGTTTGAATAAGTGAGGTCCAGATTTCAGTGAATGTGACGGTCCAGACTGCAAAAGTAAGCGTGGAAGAGAATCTGAAAGGGGAACAACCTGCTTGATTAGTAGATAATGATCAAATAGGTTTTCCTAGAAACCTTTGTATGCATGTGATTTAACTTATGTATGAAGTCTTGTACTATTAAAGTCTGTATGAAATCTTACGACTGCATTTGAAGTATTACATACGTGCTTTACAATCCATCTTCACTCAAGGGTGCAGCTTCAAAGAGCCACTACTATATGTCAACGTCAAATATCTTAAAACACCATCGTCCCCCTTTTTCGAATTCCTTTTCTTAATTGGAAAGCCCACAGTGTAAGCATATTTTTTTTGTAAAAATCATAAATATCTTGGTCATTTTTGAACAACATTCCCACCTCGGATACAATTACACCATCTTCCGTTGATGTTTCGCCGCCAACTTCATTGATGAACTCCGTAACGTTCTCATCCTCTAATGGTCCCAAGACATCATTGTGCCTGTCTTCAATGTCGTCCATATTTTCTTTTACTGCCAAGAAACAAAAAAAATTGGTCATTTTCATTTCATTATGTTTTTTTGCAACGAGAATTACAAACCTAAGCACAAGTTAATACGGTAGAAGAATTACATACCTATTGCAAAGGTGATGCTGCAACATTAAAAGCTCATCTAAGTTTCAACATTCTTATTTTCAAATAATTATACATCTGACTACACCCATATTAGAAACCATGGCCATAACTGTGAGTAAAATGGCACTTTTCGTGCAAGAAGGTAGGCAGGAAGCCAAAACTTCACTATGTTATGGACTAAATCCTAATCCCCATCTCGAGAGCAGTAATAATAAAAAAGCAAAATGGAAGGTAGTAATGCTAAAATTATCTTCATGCATATAAAAAAATTTGGGAAAGTAGTAATCACAATTTATTGTATGTAGTAATGGCGGAATGGAAGTAAACCCAAATTATCTTTACTTGCTGAAATGAAATTTATGTTCATTTTATGCTAAATCTTTTCAAGCTTAATTTGTAGAGATCAAATAATCCCCAAAAAATAAAAAATATTGAATACAGTAAAAAAGATAAATAATGCACTTGTCAGCACCTTCAAATTTTCCCCAATATGTCGGTGCTCAAAGAAACAGGAAGCGGGAGTGTCGATGAAATTTCAGTGCTGGCACTTTTTGGGTTCTCGACGACGTTACCCGGCGTTCGAAACTCCTTTCTGGCACCTTAAAATTTTCGGTAATCGGTTGAGAAATAGTTGTAATTACATAAATTTTGCCCGATGGAGGTGTTGAAAGAAAGAGGCGTGCGAGTGCTTTTCAATTTTGCCCAATTTCGATGTTCTAGGTTTCCCTCCAAAGCAGCTTGGGTTTTGTGCAAAAAACTTTTCTTTGTTGCCCTCCCTCCAAATTAGTCAAACACGTCATTTTTTTTTAAAAGCCTGTTTTCTTATCTGTCTTTATCCCCTGTCCAACTAGAACAACTCCTTTGATTATGCTTGAATATGCCAACTTTTTTGTTCACCGTAACAACTAGTCAGATCATGTTGTTGACATGCATGTAGGCGTCAGCTCTTTAAACAAGAAACGGGGAAAAAAATGAGAGGCTCTTTCCATTATTTGCCGTGTTTGTTGGCCCACAAATCACACGAATTTTCATTGGGAAAAGTGAACTGAAAAATAATGCAGGAAATCCAAATGGTCAAACGTTAGTGGAAATAAATGAGGACAAACGAAGTTCAAACCATCAGGAGGGATAAAACGGTAAAATCCGGCTTCTTGATATGATTCACACCAGTACACAACTAATGCCTTATCGGTGGGCCCTGCGACGTGACCCAAAAATCAATTGTGGATGTCCAAATATTGCGCCCAGACACGCACTAGCTGAATTCTCCTCAAATAGTCCCAAATTTCTCTTTTCATGTCAACTCGCCCAGCTTCTCTTTCAGATCTTCTTTTACTTCGTCAGTTTTCTTCTACAATTGAGCACCTCCAAACCCTACCCCTCTTTTTCTCTCTATTATCCTCTTCAATTGATCCAAGGTCAATTCTTCACAAATTTGCTGTCTTCATTTTATCTGTTATGCAATTGATGAGATCTGTTCAATGCCACACTCATTTTCTACTGTATGCATAAGTAAAAATAATAAATAGTACCGCTTCAATACTTCTGTTTCCTTTTTTGTTTTTGTTTTTGTTTTTGCTTTAGTTTAGTTTTATTATTATTATTATTATTATTATTATTATTATTATTATTATTATTATTATTATTTTTTGGTTATTTGGTTAAGTTTTGTTCTAGAAATTTGTTTGTTTCTGGTGTAGTGGTAAGAGATCGAAGCCGTGATGTTGAGTGTTGTAAGGCGCAAAGCTGCTACTGGCGCCTTGTCTGCTCTGGTATTTTCCTTAAAATTCGCCATATAAGTTTATATCTGGATTTAGATATTTTTATCTAGAGTCCTATATGTATGTAACTACATACCTTTGGATCAGATTTTTGGGAAATCAGTGCATAAGATAAGGCCAGCAGTGTCTACGAGAGTGTTCCCAGAAGAGGTAAAATGGCTTCTTTGGGTTTGATGTTTAAATTCTGTTAATGCCATTGCGATCAAGAGTATAAAATGTGCTCTAGTGTTTCTTTTTTCTTTTTGTGTGGTGGAACTTGAATGGAATGTTTGATTGGAATATATAATATTTAAATCATATTTAAGGGCATGGTTTAGCTAAGAATAAAATTGTTTAGAGGCTGTGGCTTTGCTAAGATTAAATTTTTAAATAAGGTAACAATACGAGAATATTAAAGATGTTGTAATTAGTTTTCCACTGGTTGCAATTGTTCCTTCAGGGTTTTCATATTTTGAAATGCTATAACCTCATTATCATTATGACATCACTATATTTCCTTCTCAATTTTTGATTGTGCTAAAATACTCAATAGTAAACCTGAGAATTAATGTCAAACAGTCAAGTCACATGCATGCAAACCAATGGCAACACTTCATTTTTTTGTTTGTTGCAATCAACTCTAGGCAAGATCGCTAAAACCTCATAATGCTATGAACCTTTGCTAGATCTTGCAAGTGCTATGAGCTTTAACATTGAAATTGTTTTGGATAATATTCCGAGGGAAAATTTATTCTTGTTTGGAACTTGATCTGTCATCAGCAATCGCATTAATTATTAATCTTTGCATTTTTCTTAAATACTTACATTGTGTTTGGATTCATAGAATTGAGAACATTGGACTGGAGTTGGACCCATGGATTGTCTTGCTGAGTGATTATGCTTGATTTTGTCCATGAAATTTGTAATTGATTATTTGTGTATCATTCAATCAAAGTTTTATTCTATAGTATAGTTATTTTTGTTTTCTATGCGATAAAAAATGAGTTTATTATTATTCATTTTTGCTACTCTTGCTAATTAATTAATGATCACTTGAATATATAATGCTTTTCTGTGAAGTTGAATGCGTCTAGAAAATTATAAATTATAATATTAATAAACCAAGTATAATCTAGTCATATAAATGAATATTATGTCCGTAATGCATGATACCTTTCAAGTTAAATCGCAATTTGTTTTAAGTATCATGATTTTACTTTAAAAACATATAAGAAAGAGCTGTGAAACAAATGAATCATGATTTAAGCACTGTACATATGAAATACAATTTTGTATCTGCCGCAATTTTTTATAACGGAATTTTTATTTGCCTTCTTAATATACTTTGTAAGAATTGATATCTACTTTTCATTCTCATGTTACGCAGCTTCTTGATTGGAATTTGTGATGAGAATTTGTACATTTGGTTATATGTTGATTACTTTATGACCAGTTAATAATAGAGGTGGTCATCATATAACTTCTGAGTGGAGTTATCCATTTAAATGTCATAATTGCTAAATATCTACCTACAAGTATGGTGATTAGGTGGCCAACGAATCCTAGCATTTGACATACAATGTGCATCTCTTTATGGAGTATTTTCAATCATAATAGCAGTGCATTGTAGTAGCTCTATTAAGGATTGTTTTCATAATGAGTATGTATTACTACAAGGGCATTTGAAAACTTTCACCCAAATCTTTTATCAAGTTAATACAACTGTTCTGACCTTTTGTGGCATTCTAACGTATCTTTCGTAAATGAACAGATCATGCACTATCCAAGAGGATTTAAGCACGCTCGGACTTTCTATCACCTTCCTTCAGCTGGTACTGCTTTCTTGTTACATGCACATGGCTCAACTAATTTTTACACGGCTCATCATTATACTCATTGTTGCTTATTTAACTTGTTATTTTGTTACAGAAGGCTCAATGAGTATGAGTCCGATAAGGTTAGTGATTCAGTATTAATACATCACTAAAATTTTGTTTCCAACAATCATGTTGCTTACATACACAGTCTTCAGCATTATGGATGCAATGTACTAATTATATGTCTTCATATAATGTCCTTCCAACACGAATTCACGTAGAAAATCACCTCACCATACGAACTTTCTATATAGGATAAATTTAAGCCCCACTGGAAAAAATAAATTGAAGGTGGGGTCGGGAGCTATCATATTATGAAAATGGATGCTAGAGGTAACATATTTGAACTCAGGTTGATTTGCTTAGTCACTCTAAAATTTATGTTCTGCTAGCTCTTGTTGGGAATTGTTACGGGGGCACTTGTAGGTCCAAGCTGACATATGAAAGCTTATTGACCCACAATGAAACTAGACCTTACCAAAGATGGTCGTTACCCAATAATTATCTGATGATTCTATTGCAGCGTTCACATTCCAATCCTCGACTATTCCCTCTTAATTCATGAAAATCAATGTTAATGTTTCTGTTCTGTTTGATCTGAAGAAAAAATGGATCTGATTTTTTGCACCTTTTGCAGGGAAGTTGGCTATCTTCAGCATGATGCCAACATGCAAATCTGGAGCAGGTCTTTCTGTTCCAGTGGTGGTAGGATGTTGCCTTGCATTTATTCATTTTTCTTTGCATGCTCCAATTGCATGTTAATTTAGATTTGAGATGGCATTTGGTAATCTTTTCCATGTCCTGGGGAAAATGTCATCTCCATCATTAAGATTTTCTTCATTAGGATACCAATGTGAGATTGTTGTATGCAGGGAAAGAACTAGTTTTTGGAAAAATCATATTAAAATTTAGAAGCACCAAGAAAACATAGATTTCGAAAGGGATGATGCATGAGTTTACATTGCATTTGATTTGAGGGAATTGAAATCTTTCTCTTTTGTTGCTTTGAGTTCCATTCTCTTTTCATTGGAAAGGGATTATGCATGAGTTGAGTTATCATTTATAAGTACCTGACTTGCATAAAACCACAAAGCATATCTAAAATGGTTAATTTGATGAAAATCTGATTTAATTTTAATCACAAAAAGGGCAGCGGTTATGTTGCCATGCTTTTATTTACTAGAATACGTATTTCCGTATCGAAGCTGATGTAATTTGCAGGCCAACAAAACTTGTGGCTGGTTGTAGTATTTTATTTCATAGTGTGCAGTGGGTGTTGATTTGTGAATTGTCACTTCCCATAACTTGTGAACGAGGATGGATTGTCATCATGAACAGAATGCTTCATATATATTTGTGTAAATAAGTTATTTCTCTAGAGTGTAGTTACTTTACCTCTCATGTTGCTAACTACTTCCCCTTCTTTTGGTACATGTTAGAAGGCGATCTTGTTGAAGCTGTTGTACCTCATATGGGTGAATCTATAACTGATGGCACATTGGCAGCTTTCTTGAAAAGTCCGTACCTCTCTTGACCTGTTTGACTTTAAATAAATAATCATTGTCTGATGTCTAAGCCATTGGTTTTGTTTTTATTTTTGTTGTTGCAAGCAGAACCTGGGGACAGAGTAGAAGTTGACGAGCCAATTGCCCAGGTTGAAACAGATAAGGTACTAACTCTTAGTAGCAGGTAATTATGAGTTCATATTTACACACCTTTTAGATTTTTTATCGTCGCCTTAGAATTGTGCAACATAGTTGTGTCTTATTGCTCCTCAGTAACTGATGCACGAGACTGGTAATAATTTAGTTCACGTGTGGCAATTTTAGGTGTCATGTATTCATCAATGATATGTGTAATACTCATAGATCCAACCTTTAACATCAAAACCTTTTAAAGTTATTAATCGCCCTAACCATTGACTACTGGGTTGTTTGTCTTCAATCAGGTCACCATTGATGTTAATAGTCCTGAAGCAGGTGTAATCCAGAAGGTAGAACATCATGGGACTACACTGCTTATTTCTTTTGAGCTGTTTGACTTTTCCTGGTCACTTTATAGCTGATATCATTTATCCCATATTTAACTGTTGATAGTTCATAGCTAAGGAGGGAGATACTGTGGAACCTGGCACAAAGATTGCTGTCATATCGAAATCTGGTGAAGGTGTAACTCATGTTGCGCCATCTGATGAGAAGCCATCTGAAAAAGCTGCTCCATCACCATTGCCTCCTGCTGAAGAGAAGGAGAAGCCAAAGCCTAAAGTCGAAACAACATCCATGGCAGAAAAGGCTAAGGAATCGTCCTTACCACCTAAATCTTCCGCTACAGAACCCCAGCTTCCTCCTAAAGAAAAGGAAAGACGAGTGAGTCTCACTTTCTCATCATATTTCATGTTGATGCCAATAATTTTTTTTAGCATAGAGTGTGTTTAAGCAATAGACATTTTAACCCGCTTGCATCAGTAGCTCTAAAATTTGCTCTGATGACAGGTGCCTATGACAAGGCTCAGAAAACGAGTTGCCGCGCGATTGAAAGATTCTCAAAACACATTTGCGTTGTTGACAACATTTAATGAAGTCGATATGTAAGTTCAACTTTCCTCTTTCCCATTTGCATTCTTTGTGTTCTCTTTTGTTTAAAGAGAGAGATGGGATCTGTGCCAAACATTGAAGGTCATAGTCTTCTTGCCTAGCAGATGTTGATCTGGGTCAACCAGCCAAGCTGGGTTTCTAGCATGAGCTAAATCTACAAAAGGATAACTTGTTCAAAAAATATTGATCCTTGGTTTAGTTTAGTCTATCTTGGTTGACTCTTGGAGCACGAGGTTCTCAACAAGAATTTTTTTATTTCTCTATCGTGTTTTGTTCTATTGAGGGACATGCATTTCCTTGATTCGGTTTATAATTAATCTTTTACCAACCAACGGAATATCATTTTTAAAAGTATGAAGGTGACTGGAATATTTTCTCTGTTGGAGTAACCTCCATTTCCTGTTACAAATACTAGTTAAGTACTAGTTCGTGGACCAGTTTGGAAATTGATAGGTTCCAACCTGTAGCAACAAGAAAGAACAGTTGAAAATCCAGGAAGAATTCTTTTATATTGATGGAACGAGTATTACAACTCAAAAATAGAAACGAACGTTGGCCATTCGAGAGGGCCTTACTCTCCTAATATGACTTCACTCACAATCTTTTTTCCCTATCCCAGACTCCCTATAACTATTCTATTTATAACCCCCATTTGTAACTAACTCCAGCCATGTCACCTTTTGCTCAACAGAATTTGTTACTCCTCTACAGCCTTCTTGACCCTTCTAGAATAGGTGTGTTTGATAGGAGGCCTATCAGAAAGCTTAACTCATGTAAATTGTGATAGCTGTACTTCGTGATTTGCTTATCGTGATATTAATTAATTTGACATAATCTGCTCGTTGCAGGACAAATTTGATGAAACTTCGTTCTGATTACAAGGACGCATTCGTTGAAAAACATGGAGTGAAGCTGGGACTTATGTCTGGATTTGTGAAAGTATGTTATCTGCAATCCTGATTCAACATTATCCTTTGTATTTATGCATCAGTTCTTACTATTTATTAACTCTCTTCATCATTGAGTTCAGGCCGCTGTGAGTGCTCTCCAGAATCAGCCAATAGTTAATGCCGTTATTGACGGTGATGATATCATTTATAGAGACTACGTAGATATCAGCATAGCTGTTGGTACCCCAAAGGCAAGATATATACTTCATTTTACTTTCTTTACCAGAAATTCTTTATAGAGGGAACTAAATGTTAAAGATTTTTCTATATATTTTCATCTTTCTGGTTCTTGTGGACATGGAGAAAAGGTTAACTTGTACTCTGAAAGACTAGTATCAGATGTTTAACTTACAATAACCAACATATGTTTGAAGCAAAATGTTATTTACTTGAGATTTTGTAAGTTTCTGATTTGAATTGGCTGACAAATAACTTTCTGCTGCCCACATTTAATAAAACTAGCTTACCATGGTCGGCTTACTTATCTGCTAGTAGCCTTCCAAAAGCCTCTTAATTCATGATAACTTTTGTATTTCCATCAGGGTCTTGTTGTTCCAGTTCTTCGCAATGCTGGTAGCATGAATTTTGCCGAGGTTGAAAAGGAGATTAACACTCTTGCTAAGAAGGCAACTGATGGCACTATATCAATTGATGAGATGGCTGGAGGCACATTTACCATATCCAATGGTGGAGTCTATGGAAGTCTTTTGAGTACTCCCATCATCAATCCCCCTCAGGTTTGTGTTTTCCCTAGGCTCTCTATTGGTTTGCTCGTCTATTTGCCGTGTACCTTTACATGAATAATGTATATTCCTTGTTTGTTTTGATATTGTAGTCTGCAATCCTGGGGATGCACTCGATAGTGAATCGTCCAATGGTGGTTGGAGGTAATATAGTTCCAAGACCAATGATGTTCATTGCACTGACATATGACCATAGGCTGATTGATGGAAGAGAGGCAGTGTTCTTTCTGAGAAGGATCAAAGACGTGGTGGAAGATCCTCGTCGATTGCTATTGGATATATAATATGCAGCATCTTTTGCGTACTTTGCTATAATTTGCTCGAATTCCTGAGCTAAACAAACAACCTTAAGTTTTCTTCAGAGGATCAGAATAAATGATAGATATTGACAGTTTTGTAAGTCTCTAATATTCAATTGGACCGAGCTATTTTGTGTTTCAGACAGCTATTTCAAGGTTTTGAAACGATCTCATAAAAAATAGGAGTATCCATATTTAGTGTTTCCTATTCTAGAAACTATACGTGTGATGAGCTCAGGGCAAATAAATTTTTTTTAACACTGTATATTTGGTACTTTGAAGTGAGTTATAGTGCTTGTTTGGTTGGGATTTTGTTAATTGATTTTTTGACCGTTAAAGATAAAGTGAGTCTTACCTGTGAGAGAAGAATTCAAAAATGATGGCTGGAATAATAAAATAACGGTAAAAAAAAAATTGATTTTAATTGGGTTTTAAGTTATACCAAACATGCTCATAATAGGATTTGGTGACTTGTCCTAAAAGACTCATTTACTTTCTCTTGCATGTATAAAATCTCATTTTCTTTTTCCCAAATCGAAGAAGCCAAATGTATTTAGATTGGGTATTGAAGCGTTTACTATGTTATGATGATGGTTGTATTTGTTACAAAAAGATTATCTAAAGCATGGTCCGCAATTGGATGGTGGTTCAGGTGTGGTGTGCATATTGTATCCAACGTTCTCACCTTCAAGATTAGTTCACCTTTCATAACATCTAGTAGGATTCAACTTGTTGCTAGGAAAGGTCTGTTCAATATTATTCTTATATCATGATTAAGGACAATAAAGTTGATCTGGAATATAAATTTATCCATCTTGGCGAGCACATCCTCTGTCATATCCCATGAATGTTTGATTGATACGTCAACGAGCTGCAAAGAGACAAAAGTAGTTGCTTTTACTTCTTCCCATTCTTGCATCTATAGATAGAAATGATCAAAATTTACATTTGCACCTAAATCACATAATATAGGAAAAATTGCAGTCAAGATATTAGATCCTTCACTCATGCAAACTTGACTCAAACCTTTACTTTGTATCGTACGTTGTAGGTTTCTTGTAGTATATAACCTATTAATTTGTTTCATTATCAAAAAACCTAATATTTGTAGCTCAATAATTAGTTTTCTTCTTCTTCTCTTAATTCTTCATCTCATTTGGTTGGCTTATTAATTAGTTTGTATAGTTTTCAGAAAACGTAACTGAATTTTGGAAATTTCACATCGTTAAGTGATCTTCAACCACCATTAGGTCACTGTCACTATCACCATCATCCTTAATTTGAATGCCGCAGCCAACACTTCTCTGTTTGTGTAGAGTTGTTTTTTTGGTGGTAACAATGGAAGAATTGAGGTGGTGATGATGCAGTTGTGGTGGTTGATGTTTTTGTTCGTGGTTCATACCTTGGTGGCGTGGATGATGGTAGTGAGGATACGGTGATGATTTGGTGATTTTGTTCATAGTTCAGATCTTGGTGGCGACGCTATAGGGGGTGTAGTATACTGGTAGTTATGGTTTTGTATGTGTTCTTATTAGTTTTGTCAAGTTAATGACTAGTCCAATAAAAACTGTGAAATAGAATGAAAATAAAGCGAGGTATGACAAAGCAAATTTCTTTAGGATAAATTTCGTCGCTTGTACTTGTAGACGTCCGTCTTCAATACAACGCTTCTTGTAAAATAGATACTACACTATGCCAACCTTACCGTTCGAACCAAAATATTGAAAATATTCTTCTTGAATGGAATAGACATGAGCTAAAATACTCGGACGGAAATTTATTTCTAAAAATACGAATTGAATTTTATTTTAGTAAAAATAGCAAGAACAGAATTTTGGTAGAGATGAGTGAATTTGAGACCAATTATAATTTTAATTGATTTAGTGTGAAGAAAATGAAATTAGGAAGATCATATTTAAATATTTTCAAGTGCTTTTCGAATGGTTATATCTTTTGGTAAAAATTAATTTTAATCGTTGATAGGGTGGCAATGGCCAATGGGGCGGGTATAAGATGGGTCAGCCATTCCCATCCACGTCTCATCAAGTATTTTTGACACTTTGTCCCTACGTTCATACTTGGTTAAAATGGGACGGGACAGGACGGGGGCAGGATTAGGACGGGTCGAGACAGGTCCCCTGCTCGATTTATAATCTTGTTTCTTTTGAACCCAATCTTGATGTTGAAAGAACCTTTTGTATGTGTTTTGGACGTTATATAGTGGATAAATTTGTTAAACTACTCTCCACCTAAAGTTCATATTTTTCTATGCGATTATTTCATGTGTATTCCAGTAGGGACGATAAGTTTACAACGTCCTAGGATCTATTCTTTGTATATTTTATTTCATTTCATCTATAATTTCAAGTTTTGATTTTCATAAAAGTTCACATTCAAAATTGATAATAAAAAATAAAAACTGTCTGGAAATTATCTGCGTAATTGATTTTAAATTTGTTGAGAATAAAATTGTTTCCCTCATAAATCGCAAGTCCTATGTGGTAGTGGAAGTATAGTCATTGATAAGTGTATTTTCGTGCACTTATTCGGATCATATTATTAAGTTTTTATATCGTGAAAGTATTGACTTCTGCATAATATGGGTTAATTTTCGTTTATTTTAGTGATGGACATGTTTCTAAGCGATTGGAAAGAAAAATGTGAAATTCAAAGTATGAGGGCTAAAATTGCAACATTTTGATAGTTGATTCGGACCACAAAATGAAGATTATAGATGTTACGGGTTCAATTGGATGCAATTAGAAGTTGAAGGATTGAAAGTGCAAGAGAAAGGGGCTTAAAAGAATCAAAAACTGAATTCAAGGACTAAAATGAAACTTTTGAAAGTCGACATAACTGGGCGACTAGCCAATTATATTGCCTGGGTGATCACTCCACCATGAAAACCAATAATATGGTCTTAAAAGAGTTCTTGGGCAATCGCCAATAGCGATGAAAAACTGATTTTTGTTTCAAAATTTCAATTCAACAAGGAAACTTCTTCTTGGACCATTTTTTGCAAGAATTCTACGGACTTCTTGGAAAGTACTATAAATATAAACTCACATAATTAGGGTTGGAGAATTGATTGCACAAGGAGGTGAAGAACACATCAATATTGAATTTCAGATGACCAAATTTTATTTATTTTATTTTCATCTTCATAACATGTTGGGCTATATTTCTTTGTGCTAAGAGAATGATGAACCTTGGCTTATGAGTTTTTAATTTTTAGTTTTATATATTTGACATCGAAAACACATTTTTGGATATTGAATGGTTTACTTGATCATCTTTTTTCTACTAATATTGTGCACAGTAGATGTATTGATTTGGTGACTTATTTTTTGCATTCGAAAAAAGGAAAATATGCTCGAATGGCATAAATTGCCATAGAGTCTGATAAGGGATAGAAATATATGTTACGCTCTATGTGAATCTTCTTTAAGTGTTCATAAAAAGTTCATACACTCTTGTATGTTCCCATCCGTCATAAAAATATAGTTGGGGTCATTTATGAGAGTACGTTTGACATTATTCGAGAGAGATTGTTGAATAAAATAGAAACATTGGCTCTTTAAAATCCAACCATGTTGTTAAAGTGTAAAACTAAGATTAAAAATGACTATTGTATTGGAATTCGCTATCCTCGTGCGCTTGTCATACATTAGAACACATTACTTGCACTCAACATAATTTGCATTTAGCTTAGTGAACTTACTCATAATTGTATAAGTAAATTATTTTTGCTATAATTTCATCACTAACTAACACATCACATTATTATTGTTACGGTTAATGTCGCAATAATTAAAATCGAACTAAATCAATTTCCGTGGGAAGATATTTGGACTCAAATTCAATTTATTCCTTGTTAATGAACTGTATACTTACAGTGATTTTAACTCGAAATATATTTTTGTGAGCAGTCATTGGTTGAAATTTTTGTTGTGGCAACGTCTGTGAATCACATGTATCATGAAGTTTTCATTTGACAAGACTTTTACTTTTGGTAGAAGAGTTTTTCGATAAAGTTACCTTAGTCCTCTAAAAATTTGTTTGGTCAAACAAAATACTTTCAAAAACTACTTTTTATCAAAACACACACAAGACGTAGAGAAGCAGATAGCAGGGAGAGAAAAGATGAAAGAAAAAAAAAAAAAAAAAAAAAAGAGGAGGAAAATTTGAATGATTAATTTACTTAAATTCAACAACTAAAAACACACAGTTATTAGAGAGAAGATTTAAATAAATTCATATAATCTCCTTTTAATAATTTAAGCTCTTAGATGATGTAACTAATATAGTAGCAGAAGTAGAAAAAAGATGCTAATTTAAGTCGTCATCAAAATTTTAAACTAGGAGTTGCATTTTGGTAAGTTATATATGAATTTAATTTATAAAATAAAAATAAATGATAATGGGAAAGGAACCCTAGTTGGTGAAATAAATTATTCTTGGAAATATAGAAAAGTGTGGGGTTGTTTTACAATTTATTTAAGTTATGTTAGATAAATATAAAAAATATACATCTCTCACAGATGTTGATATGTTTGTGAATATCTATGAGCAGAGGTACCTTGAACAGTAACAAAAACCCAGTGCGTATGATATTCTGAATTATATCATGTTGCTCCTCAAGGTTTAAATAATTACACTTTTCATCCCTTTTAATTGAATTTAATTCTTTTCTTCGCATTTCCTTGTCTAAATATTGGTTTCAAAGACAAAGAATAAATTAGGACAATTGCTGTGACCTAGCCAATTAAGTTAGGTTTCCACATGCCATTTTGTGGTAGAATAACATAGAAAGATGAGCAGGATATGTCGTTTTATTGAAAATTATATTCATTGTTCGCTTTGTTATTTTAAAACATAACTCAGATTTATCTATCATCCTTACTTGTGAATCATATTATTCATTGCTTGTTGGCTAATGACGATGTTCTAACCATCTAAAAATTTAAAATGCAATAGAAACGTCGTAATATGTAATTTAAAGTTGTAAGTTTTACTATATGGGTACATTATGAAATGTTCTACATAGTAAGGTTACAATTGAGGAGTCAACAAGTTCACTAATGGTCTAGAGCCCCAACAATGCCACCAAGTCACTTTGGCATGTACGTGTTTTTATCTGTTTTGCTATATTTCAGTGTAATGCAACAATGTTAAAGATTTGGGGCTCCTTTCAATGTTTCGAAACTTAGCCCCTTGTTTAAGCCCCGTTTGTGGGGAAAAATAATTTTGGAATAATATTTTTTTGAAGAATGTGTAGTTAAAAAATAATTTTTTTTAAAAATTTGCTTGTAAAATTATTTTAATAGAAAATGTGTGGTTGAAATGAATTTAAAAAAAAAATGAATTTTTGATCAAATGGGGATCAAACAAGGGAATTTTGTTATATTTTTGTATGATTTTCAAGATTATTGGACCAAAGTGTTAACTTGATGGTTCTTACCATAAGCCGTTGCAAAATAGACTGAGGTATCATTGCCATGTACCACCTAAAATCGACCCACAAAACACCAGAACCGTCAAATTTTTGCACTAACCTTATTGTTTCTAGATACGTGTAAAACTCCACCAACAATTAAAAAAATCCACGTGTAAAAATCTGAGATACCCAATAAATCTGTGCCACGTGGAGAGATGAGAGGCATTCCATCAATGAAATATTTGGGGTGGAATAAGGTAGACGAAAGAGACTGGTACATGGTGTCCTATGGTAAATTAAACTAAAGGCGACTCGTTAGTTTTCCATGTTATAACAAAAATATTGAACTTAGCCCAACTCATAATTGGCGAATTCGTAGGTTCAATTCCTACTGGATGCACGCCAATGGGACCCTCCAATAAGTCTATTGGAATTGGCTCTGTATCAATGGGATCTCATCATCCATACATAACGAATTGGTGTGGCATATTCATATCATAATATATGAACAGTAAGAACTAGCTAATAAAAAATTAAGCCCCCTGTTTGGCCTCCATTAATTTCAATTCTATTATATTTCATTTTTTTCTCTCATATTTTCAATCACACAATTTTCTATAAAATAATATTACGCTAAAATCGAAAATTTTTCTTTTTTTTTTCAATCACACATTTTTAGAAAAAATATTATTCCACATATTTTCATTTCCCCAAAATGGGGGCCAAACGGGGGGCTAAATGCCACTCAATAGTTTTCTTAAGTTTAGCTTTAACAAAAATATTAAACTTCGTGTAAACGGCCGTGTAGTAATATATTTATCATTCAATTTGTTATACGATATCTTTGATATTCTGAATTCAATTGGGTTGAAATGGATTAAGGGAAACGTGAAGATTGCTTAAAAGTACCATTGTATCTAGCTTAGAGTTTCAGTTTACCATTTCAAACATAGACGACAAAATCTCTCGTACAAGGAAAAAATTGCATTATTCAAAAGAGCAAATTGAACCTTAACCTTCCACCATGTTGTAATCATTCAAACCGTCCGAGGCATGTTGCTTTTCGACCAGACCTTTTCAGGAAGTCTTTCAACGAAAGGAGAAATAGATGTGTAAGCAAGAGTCCTGATACACGACATAAATAATCGTGATTACATATGCAAAAGTCGAAGGGCACTGATTAAAATGATAAAAGTTACGAAATCAAATGTAGGGGTTTTTTTGTAAATTTCATTAAAATTGTAGCATAAGATATTAAGAATATGGTCCCCGTTGAAGCTCAGAATTGTCCATTCCTCTGTTCGAGAGAGAGAGAGAGAGTTTCTGCTGTATGTATAGAAATCATCAGCCCATCCTATCCTTTATTCTGCCGCCCTCTCGTGACTAACTGTGATACTCTGAGTCTCTGTCCTTCAGATATCCCCACTGTTTCCAGTTTTATGCTATTCAGGCTTCTCTGAATTCCCTTTAATTCATATATTTCCTTTCCATTCTGAGATATTTCACATAATTTTCTGTGGGAATCTTGAGTTTTGTGCACTTTAATTGGTATATACTCTGCTTTTTTCTTTTTTTACTGCTCAAAGTACATGGATATCTTATTCTTGGTTTATATATCTTGTTCTTTCCTGGGATTTCTATGATATTTTTCCATGGAAGAAAATACACTTCTTTCCTTCATGTTTCGATATTTTCAAGGTTGTTTTTTTTGGCCCTTTTGGCGTCGGAAACAGTACTGATTTTTCTTCTCCTTTCTGGGTTTATTAAGGGTTGTTACCTTTTCGGTGGCTCCTCATAATTTTATATTCGTAGTGCCAAGTTTTTTGGGATTTTCCCAGTTAATTTTATCAGTCATCAGTTTCGGTTCATACTGAGAATTTCTTGTACTTTTCAGGGTTAGGGGTTTTTCCTTTTTCTCAGACCAATCATATCCTTTCTATTTGTTTGCTCTGGTTTGGCCTTTTCGTTACCAATTAGGGTTGAATTTGCAGGCTTGCCAAATCACTTGATTCTGTAGTCTTTTTAAGTCATTTCTGCAAATTCTTCGTTTCTTGTTCTAGTTTTGAAGTCATTCTTGGAGATTTTGTTTTAAGGTATTTGTTTACAAATGTCTTCTTGTTTAAGTGGAGGTGGAAGTGCAATTAGATTAGACCTTGAGATTATTAAATCACCATCCTCTTCTTGGATTTCAAATTCATCATCTCCATCTTCATCTTTAACTGAATCAAGCAATTCCCCTATTGCCATCTCGACACGAAAACCTCGAACACCTCGGAAAAGGCCTAATCAGACTTACAATGAAGCTGCAGCCATTCTTTCTGCAGCCCATCCCAAGATTTTCTCCACTAAATACCTCACAAAGCCTTGTAAATTCACAAAACCACATAATAATAGTAACGATCCTTTTCCTTACGAGCCTGCCGAATTATTTATGCCTTTTCCCGTAGTCGAAAACTCAGGATTCTTGTTGCATCAACCGATCCTAGAGAAACCCGATTTTCCAATTGAGCCTAAAGGGGGGATAGGTGCATTTGACAAGCGGTGCCAAAGTTCTGGGGAAATCAATTCAGGAGTGGATTCTTTGGAGATTCGTGACGACTATCAAGAAGACTTCGATGCAGGATCGATTCTAGATGCGGAAATTGAAGAGGGAGTTGATAGTATCTTGGGGAAGTTGAGTACTGGAAATGACTTGGTCGATGATTCAAATGATAGGCAAATGAACTCATGGTGTTATGGTTATCCAAAAGGCCTAGGATTTGGAGGAGCATTTGGCTATGGAATGAGAAGGGAAGTGAGGGCAATGAAAAATGTTGATGATGGGAACTGGTGGAGGTTCCCTAGTGTCAATGTGCAAGACATCACACCGGAAACTGGTAAAATCCTGGCAGAGAAGAAGAAAAAGAAGGTCGAAAAGGCGATTGAACCCAAGAATTCTGTATTATCCAAGTTGAAGTCAAGTTCCATTAAAGCAGACATGATGAATTCAGCTAGCAAATCACCCAAAGAGGAGGCTATACTTCCTAAGCCAAATGCAGGGTTGTCACTAAAATTAAATTATGACGAAGTTTTGAACGTGTGGTCCGATAAGGGCTCACCGTTTTCCAGTGAAACTCTACCGGGCGCCGAAACCACCGGAAATGATGTTCAAGTATGTTTGTCATCACGTCCCACGAGGATTGTGAACCTTGGTGATGTTCCTTCTGGTCATAGTCATGTTAAAATGAAAGGTGGGATGGATAAGAAAAATTCATAAAGGGTATTTGTACCTAGAATAAAGCTCCTCATCCTGGGATTGAATCCAGGGGTTGAGGTGGCGCGACCTCGGCCCCTAATTTGATGGTGGCAGGCCCCATGTTATGCAGATTGAGGGCCGAGGTGCCCAGGATTTAATTCCCGGTTGTGTAGCAGAGTTGTTGTACATAGTATCTGTCACTTTGGCTAAAAAATAAAGGAGTTTTTAGGTACTTGTAGGGCATAGCACGTGCTAATCATGTATCATATGTGATTGTTTTTTCATATTTCCTCTTTCTTACAATAATTAATGTCACTTGTAGTTGTAATTATGTTTCAATTGAAAAAGTGAACTTCGTCAACAAATGAGCAATTTTTTCTAGCAATAATGTTGATGTTACATGGCTTGGTAGGGCAACATTCAATGGTTGCTATGCCCTAAACACTTTTTATTTGAGAGTTGTAAAAGAAAAAAAATAAAGATTATTAATTAAAATATAAAGACATATAATCAATAGTCTTTTGTAAATATGTTTTTCTATAGTCGTCTATACTTTTTAGTACTTCAACATCCTATTCTGTCTTGACATTTTTGGATGATATCAAATCTTTTGTTAATAATTTGAACTTATGAAGAATATACTGGGAAGCTGTACTTATGTTGGGACTGTTGAGCGGCCTAGCATTGAATAATTGCTCATCGTGTTACTTTTGGTGTAGACAAGATTGACACAAATAAACTTATTCGGTGAAGACAAATTGAGTAGGGATGGCAATTCAATGTCAAAATCGAAAATTATGATTAATTGAACCAAAGGGGACGAAAAAAATCGAACCGATAACGCAATAGGGTGGATATAGTATTTGATTTTAATGTCCTGGTTCAGGGCGGAGTGGGACAAGTTTGGCATTTACGTTGTCGTCTCGCCTCAAACCGATTACCCATTAAAAAAAATAATTGGACAATTGGACTTTCCATTATTTTTTCTATGGTTTTGTTTAGGGGAAATTACAAAATTTTAGGCACTTAAAGATCACAATGCAAAAATCAAGGGGGAAGATTTTTTGTTCAAAATTTAGGTATTAATTTAACTATTAATATTAATAATAAAATATATCAACCAATTAATCTAATTCCAATCTCTAAATTCACGTCACTCCATCTTCCCTCTTCACTCTCTCCACTTAATCGACACCTCCGACGCCGCCACCAACTGTTGAAGACCGTCGCCCACGTTAACAATCCACCGTCAAACTCACAGTGATGACGACGTTGACACGGTAAAGCAATTACACCAAGGGCGAAGTAGAACGCCAGCACACTTTTGTGGTTTTGGATGGTGGACCATCGCCCACAGCAACAATCCATCGCCGAACTTACAGTGATGACGACGTTGACACGGTGAAGCAGTTCAACCAAGAATGAAGCAGACCACTAGTGCGATTTTGGGGGTTTGGATGGTAGATTATTTTGAGTTCAAAGAAGCAGATCCATCGAGCGCGAAGCAAAACACGTCAAACAAGCAAACACCGAACCTACACCGCGAAGAAGACTACCTACTCTGACGACTCTTCACAGGCGAAGCACGCCACCAGCGTGAAGTAGAAGCGATTTGGGGTGGTGGCGATTGTGTTGGTTTGGATGGTGTGTTTGTGGTGTTTGTGTGGTGAAGGTATTTGTGGTCATAGATTTGGCAGTTTTCATTGGTTTTGATGGTGTTTGTGGTGGTGGATTTGGCGGTTGGTGTTGGTTTTGATGGTGTTTGCATGGAGGCAATTTTCGTGGCGATGGATTTGACAATTGAGGTGAATTTGGATGGTGTTTTGGGGGGGGGGGATGGAGGTGGTAGTGGCGGCGGTGATCGTGGTATTGGCGGTTTGATTGTGTTTTATTGAATTTGGCAATGGTTTTGGGGGTTTATGTGGTTTTTGTTAGTTGTGTAGTTAGAGATATTGGCAGGGATGGTGAATCTGACGATAGTGGTGGTGGTGATAGTGACAATGGTTGTAGGGAGAGGGTGGTCACAATTGACAGTAATGTTGGTGGCTATGATATGTGACCAATTATTTGGTCATTTGTGATTAATTGCTCAATTGTGACCTAAAAATTTAATAAAATGTGACTGGAAATTAATTTGTGACTAATTAAAAAAAATATGTGACCAAATAATTATGATCGACAAATGAACTATAATCTATAATTTTTTTGATTTGTGACCGATGAAATAAACTGTGACCTATACAATTTTCGATTTGTGACCTCGAAATAAATTGTGATTTATACAATTTTTGATTTTTGACCTAGAAATAATTTGTGATTAATTAATTCGATAATATGTGATCAATAAATAAATTGTGACATTTACTTATGTATTTGTAACTATTAATTTTATGACTGTGACTTTATTATATTTAATTAATAAATATTTTTAATTCATTATATATATACCTGAACTTTGGACTTTTAAACTATTTACCTCACTTTTGAATTGGTGTAAACAATACACCTTAAATATTATTTTTCCCTTTTGTTTAACCCAAAATTCTAGCCCATTATCGACCTGCTAAGTGCAACTATTCTAACCCAGTAACCCTACACCCTATTACACAAATATTAAACATATATGAAAATTATTTGTTAAATTCGGCTTTTGCATTTATGAATTGGTATATTGTTTGCATTTTCATTGACTTTTTTTCATAATTTTTTTTCCCCAATTTGACGGCTGGATATATAAAAAAATAATTTATTTTCGTGGTTATTAACCATCCGAACCGATTTACGTGGTTATGGTATGGCAAAAAAATTGATGGTTCGATAATGATTTTGACTGAATCGACCTGAGTCGAATCGTTGCCGACCCTAAAGTTGACAGATTCTAGTGTGTTGCATTACAAAGAGAAGAGGCGCAACCACCTTTTCTCTAAAACGATTAGATATCAACTTTGAAAAATAAATGTTGATCAGCAGCCAAGAATTAAGGTAACTTTAACTTTTCATCTGTTGATTTTAATCTTTCGCCTTTTTTTCCCAATCCGAATGATCGAATTGAGATATTAATGCATGGTTCTCCAAGTGAGACATAGTAACTTAATTTTCACCATTTTATCGAATTTATGTGTTTGTAACATTTGATCTACTAAGAGATTAAAAAGTTGCACGATTAGAACATGTTTATTTATTTATTTATTTATTTATTTATTTATTTATTCAGGGGTAACACATATATTAATGAAAATTCATAAATTAGAACTTAACAAGTTTAAATCGTACGTTATTTACAACTCCGTCCGTAAGAAAGAATTTGTTTATTTTTCCAATTTATAATGATGTTGCAGGTGCGATTTGTTAAAAGCCTCAATTCTCCGGAGAGCTAGCACGAATCATGAAATGAAAGAATTTTTGTAGCCAAAATTTAGCCTTTTTTTTTTTTTTTGGGCATTATCAACTTTTGAAATATGTATACTAGTTAAGGGAGAACGGAACACAATAGTTAGAAAATATTGAATTTTGCCACACATCTCTTAGTCACACATTTATGAAAATGTCATGCATCATACTATTTATGATGAATAGGTTACCTATTTTCATGTAAATTATAATATATTGGCAAATAAGTCCTTTTTTTTTTTTACTTATAAATAAGAAAAAGGGATATATGTTCCAAAATGTTCTTTAAAAAAAGGGAATATTCGAATGGGGTTCTAATCTTTGAACATTTTGACGATCGGGTCCAAACTTGGCAATGTTACAATTTACAACCGTCCCCTTTTTGTGAGTACTAGTGAGAAAAACGTGCATTGCATGTTAGTTGATGAATGTTTAATATCAGTGTATGATGGTTGTTCAACGGACATACACGACAGTATTTTATAAACTGAAATTAAATAAAGTGGACACAAGAAAGACTTGCAAGCGAATTGCAAAAAATTATCGTCGTTCTTTGAATTCACCCATCAACAATGTCATTGTAAGAATGAATTTACACGGTGAAAAGAGTCCATTATTTGCAAGCTCAATTAATCCGTACGATTTGAAATACCATGCAAACCAAGCATAAAATTATTTAACAAATCACATTAAGTCAATGAATAACTTTTAACGTAATTATGGATGTAATTTCATTACTCACCCAACTTCGAAGCACAATTCAAGTAGATGGCAACATTCACAAATCAAAATTGTATTTGTTTAACAAGTTATTATCCCTATGCATTAGTTGTTCAAGATTATGAACAATAAATATCTTGCAATGATTACCAAAAGTAAATAAATAAATAAATTCCTTACATGGCCTTGTTCAATATGGGGGGAAGAAACAACAAAATGTAGGCATCAAGTTAAGGTATAATAGTCCCGTGATAGAGCTACAGATTGTGTAACGCCATGCTCTTATATCTTGTGAATATCATGTATTCTAGATTAAATGCATTAATGCTACATTTACAATTTAATTATGTAAATTATATTTTGATTAATTTATTTTTCAGTGGAATGTGCCTTGAATACCTTAGACAGTCGACGTGCTTCTAAATTTAAATTAAATAGTTAGGAACCAAGCTATGAAGTAATTATAGACATAGTTACATCTAATTAAATTTTATTTAATTTACTTGACTAGATAAGTAGAAACCAATTAAATTATTTGGACACTAATTAAGTCAGAAGGTAGGAATTTGGCCCTATTGGAAACAACATTTCCCATACGAAATCAATCTGATTGATTTTTCAATCAAAAGTACTATGTAAAATCTTCGATTCCACTTATTGAACAGGGTTCTATGGTCGGTCCGTGACCCCTAGACGCCAAAGGCACCCTTGAGGTGTTTATGCTTTAAAATTAGAATTAGAATTAGAGATTTTGTTAATGCACTTTTAAAGGAAATAAATCATTATTTACTCATTCATATCAAAATTAACGTGCAGCCCTATATATATCTAACCTAATAAAGGGGAAGGAGATGACACTATTGATTGAGCAGAAAATGAACCCCATGTTATCTAACATCTACTAAAAAGGG